ATTACACTTCGAATCAAATTTTTCAAGGATCGAATGTGTTGATTTTAATTTATTCTCAGCTGTGTGATTTTTCTGCTTTCAGAGACTTATTATTATATGTGTGGTTTAGAATAGACCTTCATTTTTCTTGACAGTTTGTATAAATTTCAGTTCGTTTACTTATATATTTTCTTAAGTTTTGATTATGAAATATAACATAAATATTAGTAAACATAATTAAGCGAATCCGCCAGTACAATTTCTTGTTCAAATCTAGGATTTCCTATGTTGAATGTAACTTCAATCTAAATGATTTATATACAGGAGATATGATCAGATTTGACAGAGTTTTTTATGTATTTAAATCAGGAAATAAAATTGAAAAGTGCATAAGTTATATTGTTATTATTGATTTAAATTGTCACATCTAAATTTATTGCTTCTGAGTCTATTTTGACTTTATTTCCAAACTTGTTTCCCCAATATCTTTTTCCTGTGTTCAACTATTGTTTTATGCTCCAGATTAGTTTGAGTCCTAATGTAAACCATTTAAATTGGAATTCAACATTATAATTTAACATAAGTGTATGTCATTCTTTTTGTCGTAAAACAATTCATACCACTATAGCAGATAAATGTTGGATTATTCTGTACATGTACCAAATATGTTCACTATGATATGCAGGCACCTATTTAAAGCTCATATTTTATCTCCTCAAATGAGTTATAACTTATGTTTCATTTTTTTTTGTTTGGAATTGTGTTTTTATCTGCATGCTCGTGCCTAGTTTAACGTCTTCAGTGTACCCGTTTACATACTAACGCCAAAGACAGACCCGTAGGGAAAGACCGTCAATACTCGTGCGAGGAATCTGACATGCCTTGATACAACTTTGAATAATCTGTTGATAAGCCAAGGATGAACATATAAAAATTTTATAACGAACATAAACTACCTAATAGTTTCCGACAAGTAAAAAAGTCAGCACTTGGTCGTCATATTGCCAACATGATTGACCAAGTGATAACGAGATTGACCTTTACCGTTTGATTAAAGAAACAGAACCCATGCCAACTGTTTTATGCATTACCTTTTAAAAGATATTTTAGAAGGTGATTATATAACCTTTGTGTTTAATATAATTAATTTTATTTTGAATTATAAATATTGAAATAATGTCAACAAAGATGTTCTAAATATAGTACACAACTCTAACCTAATCCTTTTCTGCGAATTACGTCATACGAGGTCTCACGTAGCTTCTAAATGTCATGGCCGACTGTAGTCGGCGTAATTGATGTTCCCCAGTTAAATAGGCAATTGCAATGACTGTATTCATATTTTGATACTTTAAATTGTATAGAACAGTAATAAAATATTTGTTTTATCGCAAAATGCACAATAGTTAATTTGGACAAAGGCATTTGCAAATGAAAAATAAGGTTAGATCAACGAACGTTTTTCTGGTTAGGTTTCGTAACGGGTCTTATCCAAAAATTTTATTTTGTATTCAACCTTTGAATATTTAGTTCGCCATATTTGTTCAGTTACAATTTTCAAAAGTTTGTCTGGCAAGATACCGCCCTATTTTGTTTAAATTATGCCGAAATTTTTACCATACAGTGCTGTAACTCAACTGTATGTATTAAATTTATACGTTAAATGAGCCGATTTAATGAACCTACAGAAATACACCCACTTTGAATGGGCAGAGCTAACTGTAAGGCGGTTATAGGTTATATAAACTAATTTGCTCGCTTTATTTCTTAAAACTCTAATATAGCCTTTAACCTATACTAAAGATAGCATCTGATTTGTTATCCGAGGGTTGCAAGAACGATATTCGGGCGAGGGGATAAATGATCTCAGACATTTAGTCTCTTATGTTCTTTTGTCTTTTACCGCTCAGTGAGAGATCATGTAGGATCAAATAATCGGTCGATTGCTGAGCAATATGTAATAACTTGCCAGCCAGAAATTTCGGTAAGTTGGACCAATGGCCGAGATATGCCAAAAAATGGTGTATAGTTGACTTAAAATCAGATACACAAACAAACAAAAAAGTTTTATATAGTGAGTAACAATTGTATGGATACCGGTAGTTTCTTTTTTCTTGAGAGCGGTTTTGTTAAATTTGCATTGATGAACACAATTTGTTTTAGTTTTGAAAACGCTATGATGTAAATGTTATGTTTTTGTTTAAATAACATGTCGCATTCATTGACCTTAATAAATATAAATACAGTTTAAGGACAGTCACACTATAAGCATCAATAAAACAATAAATGTTGATGAATTTCAAACGAATGTCGTAGTTTGCGACTCAAGGCTTCTGTATTCAGCTTGTTTTTATGTTTCTTTATGTACGAGTAAAATTAAATTCTCGTGTGTTTCCTATCTATTCTTAACTGAACCCATCAACAGTCTAACTTTATGTATCGAGTTTTTCGATGTGCCGAAGTTTTTACGTGGTCCATACAGAATAGTTTTTAACCATTTTACCATAAATCAATCGAAGTCGTTCGGTTAATAAGACACCTTCGGGTGGTTTAATGTAAACAGCCTTACTTTAAGTTTATAAACTTTCAGGAAGAAAACATAATATGTTTACACATTTGGTCCACGTCATAGTGATATTAAAGGGGCAATAATGCATACGCAGAAAATATCTGAGCCAAGGATCATTTACTTTTCCTTTAAAGGTGTATGCTACAGTATTTATAAGTAAAACACAACCAATGTGTTAAACAACTTTATTTGGATACATACATATATTGAGATGCCGCTTGTTTATTATTGTAGCATCTTTGTCGTTGGCCTCTAAACAATTTATTGTATTTCTAAAAATCTATTGATATTTATGTTCTATATATTTAATATAGGTTAATTTATTTGTAACAACATAAATTTTTATTTCAAGAAACAATTAATATACTAAAAAAATATGGACGTAAAAAGAGATACTGGTATGCAATTTGTATCCTAAAATCAAGTTTTCATGTGTGTTTTTTTACACTTGCACACTATAAACCACTGCAACAAGAACAAAAACAATATAACAAAGCCATCTTGTCCGATCCTAAGTTTTCTGTTAAAACAACCTGAAAAAAAGAATATGATTGTTATTTAATAGTCTTGTTTAAAAAAATCTTACATTGATATAGTCATGGAATATGCAATACGTGAATCAATATTAAATAAATCAGCTACTTCATACTGCTATGCTACGATATACTCTTACGAATGATGTTACAAAAATGTTCTTACTATATTTTCCATTGTCGCTACAGAATAAAAGCTATCAGAATAGACATTACCATCGTAACAACACCAAAGTTCATCAAGGCAGCTATAATTAAAATAAGATGCATGATATAAAATGATTATTTAATGAGCCTGTCATAGAAATGGCGTCGTTGTAAAGGTATAAGGAAATGTATAAAATTCAAAATCAAGGTGAAACTTGTGAAATAATGACAACCAACACGGTAACAACATTCAAATCTGACGTACCTGAATTTTATCCCGTTATAATATAAAGTAAAATTAATAATTAACTATTTGACTAGTTATTGTAAATGTTTGTAGATATAAGTACTAACGCTATGTTAAATCGCGTAAATGTTTTTACTTGACAACAGTTTTACTCATTAGAACAATACGTAAGTTTGTATTATTATAAACAAAGATCTAAAGACGTACTGGTTTGAGAATTAAAAGTAATATTCACATGTTAGTCTTCAATTTTATTATTAATCTAACTGATTACCGATTGTGATATACAAGAACATAATTATAAACACTTTTTACCAGAATTCTTTGGGTCACATTTGTTAACATTCATGATGAAACCTGTTTTACATTTACATTTCTTAGACGTTACGTCACACGCTGCATTTTGAATAGCGTCACATGCTGATGAAACTGATGAGCAATCGATTCCATTGACGTCTGAAAATGATTGATTTACTTACAGTGTATATATCACGCTGTTCTTACGTAAAAATTACCAAGAAGGCAGCATAATTTCTAAAAATGAAGGTTATTATCTGTTATATATATTTTAGGTTTATTCATATAAGAACAAAACAATGAGACAAATAAAACTCTTTTTCCCAATAATAACCCTTGTTATAACTTAAAGAAAAATAGACTATTCATCAGAATGTGACGTTTTTGCAGTTACATGCTTTTGTTAACCGACATATACACACTTTGATGGGTTTAGAACATAATTAACGAAAAAGCAAAACATATTGCCTATGTTATATATTTTTGTCATATTTACTTCGTGTACAAACGTTATTCTTTGCAGCATAGCCTGCTTTGCAAACACACTTATCACCTTTACATTCTGCATTTACATCACCAGGACAAGTATCGAGTGCTTTGCAATCGCGTCCGAGAACTGAAAGACATGACTATTTATGTACAATAACTCAAAGTTTGCCAAGGATCACCTTTTTTGACATTGCACATTTCAGTCCATTATCATGATCTTAAAATCATATTTCCTTGCACAAAAAGCAAGTTGAAAAGCATACCCATGGAAATTTGGTGTTTTATGGCCATGTGCTTTCAAGCAGCAATACTTCTATCGTTTAATTGTAAAACTGTGTTTGAAATATATACAAACTATGGCAAATCGGCAGGTTAGGTCGTCTTAGTGAAGATAAGATGAACATGGGACTGTTCCAGCCTGGCCCTTCATAAAGGCACGTTGCCCATGTCGTCGGGGTTTCCTAGAGCGTTGTCTCCAGGATGTGGCACCGATTCCAAACGACTGGACATGACTTTCATGGCCATGCCGGAGGTCGGGAACGTTCAACGACTGAAGCCCAGGGCTGATTTATTGTCCTTCAGGCCAGGCGCCAACGGTTCTCGAACGCTACGACCTTACGTAACGACTTCCAGAATGCAACTGGTGTGCGTGTAAACAAATTGTTAGAAACAGGTTGCATGATGCTGGGATGAGGTCACGGAGGCCAGTAATTCGCATTCCTTTGACACAACCAGAATTCAAGAGCGTTTGCAATGGGCGCATACTCATATCACATGGAGAGTTAATGATTAGACCCCGGTCCTCTTCACTGATTAGTAAAGGTTTTGGGTGGACTTTACAGACAGACGGACTAGTGTTTGGAGAAGTCAAAATGAACGCTTAGCTCCAGTATGCGTTGCAGAACACGACCGTTTCGGCGGGAATTCAGTCATGGTGTGGACGGGAAAACAAACCTACACATCTTTGAAAACGGTACACTGACGGCAGTAAGACACATCAATTAAATCTAAGACGTCCATGTACGCACGTACGCTGGCGCAGTCGGCCCTGAAACTTGAAACTTGAAAACTTGATTTAACGCCTATTTCGACATATAGAATACATATTCAATGGCGTTGTACAGCTATATACCTTATATGTGCTACTCCCAGTGCTACCATACACAATACTCCTAGCAGTGCGACGGTCACTGTGATTGGGTCTATCCCCATCAACATGTAACAATCTACACCCCTGCACCCCTGAACATGATAACACATGGGCTATACTTTATTATATTATTGTACAATGAAAATAATAAAAACTGATAGAAATATACAACATGCACAAAACAATTAGGAACAGACAATGCCTTCAGCGTCACTTAAAAAAGTGCAAAAAAGTCAAATGATTTCAGTTGTCTTTTGAAAATTTCAACAGATTCACATTTTCTCATATTAATAGGTAGTTCATTCCACAATTTTGGTCCTATCGTGCTAAAAGCTCTGTCAGAAACAGTCCTCTTCTTATTAAAAGGAACAACATTACAACCAACAGAGGATTCAGATGATTTTAAGGTTCGTTTTGACACTTGATGAGACAAAAGCTCTATTAAATATGTGGTGCGTTTCCTACCGAACAGTTATACATGTATGTCAGTATCTTGAAACTGATTCGTGCTTTAATCGGAAGCCAGTGCAGATCGAATAATGCCTGTTTAGAACTATCATACTTGGAACGACCTAACACCAGTTTGGCACACATATTTTGAATACGTTGAAGTTTGGCTAATTCATTTTGAGATATGCCGTATAGAATGATGTTGCAATAATCTAAATGGGATATTACTAAAGATAAAACAAGTGTTTCAGCGGCTCCCTTTGTCAGATACTTTCGAATGCTCTTGATCTTGAAATAGTTTAACATAGCAGTTCTACACTTTCTTTTAATGTGATCTTTGAAATTTAGAGACTCATCCAAAAAAAGCACCAAAATACCGTATACAATGTAGTGATTCAATAACATTACCACATATATTGATTTCTTTGGTGTTACACTTATTCAGCTGTGGACGACTTCCGAAAAGCCCTGATTTCATTCTTATGGATGACAATGTCCGTGAACAAAGAGCCCACATCACAAACCGATATCTTGAGGAGGCAACTAAAGTCCGCATGGATTGGCCTGCGAGGTTCCCGGATTTAAATCGAATTGAGCATGCTTGGGATATGCTGCAGAAAGCCATTTCTTAAAATAACGTCCATTACGCTCACCAGCAGCAAGCGGCGGCGATACCATGTCTTAATTAAGGCTCAAGGTCAACATACTTGGTATTTAACACCCTACGCAAACCATTTCCTGAGTTTCAAGATTTTTTTACTCCAAAATGTTGATTTTCGTCAAACACACTCTTTCCGAAACAGGCTAATGTCAAGGAACACTTCCATTGTAATTATTTTAATAAAAATCAATTCCGAACTAATTATATTTAATTCCTTTTAATCAACTTTTACATTTATTACAAATACACAAAAGTAAAAGTGATTCTAAGCAAATTTCGAGTAGAATATAACTGTGAAATGTATTTTGCCAGGAATTTGGTCATACAAGATTTCATAATATTGTTGGTACACATAAATTTGTAAAACACGCGTTGCCTTACACTATTAAATCGATGACAATGTATTTTTTTAAAATAAATACCCACTTTGAAACCGACAATTTAGCATAGCAGATGCATAACACACTGATTCTCACTAAGAAGATCCATGCCAGTCAGAAAATGCTAAAAATTGATGTGTGTAAAATAACTTTATACCAGTGAAAATTCGTTTTTTTGATATATGTGAAATATGAATAAAAAATATTGAATGCATATCTTGTTTAGTTTTTTATTACATTGCTCTATGTTTAATGGGTGTCGGCGTATTAAAAATTTACTATTATTTATCTATTTTTTAACTAATTCAGAAGTCATCTTATTTAACATTGTCTGTAACTATTGAACCACATATTTCGTATAAAAACAACTAAGGTAAAGGTTATCTTTCAATTAAAAACAATTATATTGTATATTTGATTATAAACATACCTTAACATAAGAATTACACGGAATGCTAATGTAAACATCATAATTTCTTTGTATTTTTCTTAATATTAAGTCAACATTATTTGTAGCTTTTATGCACGTCACATAGGACGTGGTATCATAAGCGTAATATCATTCACAACATATCACCAATCAAATATTAACAATTTCATCAAGCCATTTGTAATGAATTATTAATTTCAATGTAAATAATGAAACTGGTAAATACGTAACGGAAATTTCAAATTTAACTTTTTATGACTTCTTTAAATACAAGGACAAAAACCAAATAATCGTGAACAATAACTTATTTTATATACTGATTTACGTACAAACAAAAAACGGCGCATATCATGTAAACAATGTGAATATAAAAATAAAAATATGTGTCATTCGCTATGTTTGAAATTGACCATCTCAAAATTGTACAAATGACCTTTTAGAATATGAAATTTATTCATAGCAACATTTTTTATAAATATTGTTAACAACAGCTAATTATCTATAATTGTACTTTTCAAAACAAATAAATTTGTATTAGATACAAAGGATATCTTACTAATATTTAAAGTGAGTAACGGAAATTTACATGTAACGGAAATTTATGAAGCAGCAAAATGATATTTGTCATTGTGATTTCATTAGCTGTACAAATGTATTTAACTTGAAACTATTAACAAAACACTCTTTTTAATCTGTTAACTCAATGCAAATCTACCAGTTTGATATTCTAGTAAACATTCACAAGTTTTACTGCTTGAAGGACCTGAGTTTTATCATTGTTTCATCTGAAAATTTAAACATTCGTGCACTCTTTCCAGTGGGATTCGGTGTATCTACTTTAAAAAGAACATCTGACTTTTTAATCCACAAAATATCTTTGTTTCTTGGCCACTGGTAAAGGCTCTTCCTTTCTTCCATAAAGTCAATTTCAAACTCTGCTTCATCTTCATCTGCTATCTTTCCAATGAAGCATTTATTTTCATAAGCGGCAGCAACAAAGTCTCCAATAGTATTCATGTAATTTAATTGATGTGTACCTACGTTTACATTTTTATCTTTATTTGGAATTGGGTTTTGGTCATTGTTAGGATTGTTCATATTTGTCTCTTTCGTATTACTATTTTCATCCACCTCTGATTCTATTGGTTGCTTGCCCTCATTGTCATTTTTTGCGTTTGTTTTCTTGTCTTCACCTTTGACAGTCGTGGTTGATTTCCAGCTGTTACAATTTACACCTTCAAGGCAATGGGCACAATAACAGCTAGTTTCCCTAGTTAAAATATTTGTATCTTGGCAGACAGTGGCATGAATCTTCATGGTCCCTGCGACAGGTTGCAGTTTAGTTTGGCTTAATTCTTTATCTTTTTGTTGACAAACTTTAGAATCAACGAAACGAAATGCCACATTTTTCATATTTGAGGAAAGAGCCCAATCATAAAAATCTTTAGCATCCTGTATAATTGCTTTTCCTGATCTAATATATTCATCCGCAAGTCTCTTGCAGCTTCCACCTAACCCGTCGCAGGGCCCCTTTCCATGCCCGCTCTCCCAATAATTCCATCTTGCCCATACTCCGAATTTTTGCTTGTGATT